TGTGTACAGTTTACCTTAAATCTTTTTGCTTCCCTATCAAAACCCCAAATGTTTCTTGCTTCCGCCTTCTCCTATATTCCAGAACTCCATAGAAGCACCGTGATGGATAGGAGAAGTGCTAGGCAGCACTTGGTGACTAAAGGGTTAAACTCAGGTTGGCAGGGGTCCAGAAGAACCAATGGGATACAGTGCTGGAATTTAAATTGTATATACAAACCTGCTGCTGTTTCTCTTTGGGTGAGTTCTAAGTTAGGGCTGGAGGGAACAATATGCAATAATCAGGACTACCATGCCGTCAAAGAATTCAGGGCATGGAAGTGGACTGGACCGAGAAAGGGTTATGAAGGATATTTTTCTTTGTTTTGTTTATTTGATTAAACTTCTCTGTGTAAAATCCATGTGCTCTATCTCATCGTTCACTATTTAAGCTGTACCTAGAAATACTATATTCTCTGTGTTTAATTTGTTTTTCTTTAGTTGCTCTCTAACACCTAGCAACCAAGTATGCTAGTATGCTTTATCAAGTATATATTTTTGTTTTGTTAATAAAATCACCCCTTTTAAGGCAACAATTTGATTCTTGTGTCCTGGAAGGTAACTGGAGGTCTGTGTGTGTGTCTGCCTAGCCTGAGAGGTCAGCTACCAAAGACACAGTTTGTTTTCTGTACTTTTTGTTTCTTTTTTTTCAAGCTCTCTTGCGGTAAAAAAGCTTTGAGTACTCCTGAGGGAAAAATTCAAGTGTTTCTTCCTGGTTTTTCAGGGTTCAAATCACTTGATGGTGGCATCCTATCTTCCAGAGTCAGTGCCTATAGAGGCAATGTATTTAAGGTCTTTTGTGGACCCCCACCTGTGCATTCAGAGGCAAGGTCTAGACTATAGCCTTATATTGGAAAAAGCTACGCAAATTGCACTTTTTCCAATCACTTTTGCAGAAAACACTTTTTTTTACAGGACTCCCCAAAAGAGCGCATTTGCTCTTCTGCAGAAAAAAGCAGAAGAGCAAACACGTTCGTTGGACGCGGCAGGGTTTTTTGTGGGATACCTCTGGTATCCTGCAAAACCCCGTAGTCTAGACATAGCCAGAGTGTCAGAGTGGGGAACAGCTCTGACACATTGCCAGTGGCAAGTTTAAATATCATCTCAAAATGGCCATGGTCATACTACATATTTTAATTCCTTTGCCATTGTATTGGTTCCTGTAAAAATCTTAAATTTGGAATTTTTTTGACCTAGAAGGTCTTGTTCAGCCTGTGCTGTCTCACTGATAGCTTGTACTCCTCTGTGCATCGCTTCTTGGTATTTCCAAATAGCTCTTATTATAGAAAGGAGATGGAAGGTGCTTGAGCCAGTGCTAATTGTTCACTAAGGTTTTTGAAATCTTTACTTTTTGACATTAAAAGGATCTTGCTGTGTCCCAGTATTCAGAAATGGGCTGAAGTAATTCCAGACTGGGGAAGTCATTTCAGGTCCCTTGCTTCTGGTCCTTCCCCCACATCCCCTGCTATTCCCCTGGGCTTTCTGGCTCCCCCTACAGCTCCCCTCTCTCTCCCCTCCTCCCCCCTTCCCCTCCCTCACAGCCTAGCTGAGTCGTGCACCAGCTCCGAGTGCCTTCCAAGCCCAGATGAGCCATATACCGGTTCCTGTCCCTCTCCCCACCACACAGCCCAGCTGAGACATGTACTGGCTCCCTGCCCTCCCTCCTTGTAGCCACGTGCCATGCCAAACCAAGCTAATTTTCTTTTTTGACAGGGTTACCAACCTAGTGGATAGGTGGGAAGCAGTAGATGTGATATATCTTGATTTTTAGTAAGATTTTCAATATTGTCCCACATGACCTTTTCATAAGAACAGATCTAGATTAAGTTATTATAAAGTGAGTGCACAAGTGGTTGAAAGACCACATGGAAAGTATAGTGATTCATGATTCTCTGTCATAGTGGAGGGTTTAATACTGAGACTATATATGTAATAGAGTCCTTTAGGGGTGAGTCCCAGATCTGATATTATTCAATATTGTCATTATTGGCTTGAGTAAAGAAGTGAAGAGTGTGCCTTTTATTAAATTTGTGGTTAACACCAAGCTGAGAGAAGCTGCAAGCACTTTGGTGGACAGGATTGGAATTGAAAATGACCTTGACAAACTAGAGTATTGGTCTAAAACGAACAAGACTAATTCAATAGAGACAAATTGCAAAGTACCTCATTTAGGAAAGAAAAATCAAGCGTGAAACTTAAAAAATGAAGAACAACTGGCTAGATAGTAATCCTGATTGAAATAATCTGGGGGATATAATAATCTGGATCACAAATGGAATGAGTCAAATGGAATATGAGTTGTTGTTGCAAAAAAAGCTGATACAATTCTGGGATGTATTAAGGGGAGTGTTGCATGTAAGAAACATGAAGTACTTGTTCCACTTTACATGGCACTGTTGAGACCTCAAGTGAGGAGTATTGTGTTCAGTTCTGAACTCCACACTTCAGAAAAGGTGTGATTGAATTGGAGATTGCAGAGAAGAGCAACAAAAATGATAAAAGATTTAGAAAACATGATCTATGAAGAGAAGAAAGATTTAAAAAACCCTTGGGCATATTTAACCTTGAGGGAGGGAAAAGGACTGGGGGGCCAAGAGGGAGACTTGATAAGACTGCATATGTTAAGGGCTGTTATAAAAAGGATGGTGCATGTTCCATGTTCAGTGAAGTTAGGACAAAAGGTAATGGAGCACAGGAGATTTAGCTTAGATATTACACAAAATGTTCCAACTATAAGAGTGTATATATATATATATATAGAGAGAGAGAGAGAGAGAGAGAGAGAGAGAGAGAGAGTTCCAACTATAAGAGTTCTGCAATAAGTTCTCAAGGGAGGCAGTGGAATTGCCAAGAATTGGTTGGACACCTATCATAACTGGTCTGTGCCTACTTGTTCATCCCTCAGCACAGCAGGGATGGTTTGTTGATCTCTCAAGATCCCTTTCATCCCTATATTTTTATGATTTTATGAAACTTTGAAAGGCTG